CCGCCGAGATCAGTGCCGGCCGGCCCCGCCCTCTGGTCCCCGGCGGCGCGGCATCCTCTTCCTCCCGGCGGCCGGGCCACGGCGCCCGGTGGCCCCGGTTCCCGCGCCAGGCTCCTGAGTCCGCGCTGCCGGCAGGGGGAAGGGGGTGGGCAGGGCCCGGCGCCCCACGCCTCGGGCCCCCGGCCGCTGTGCATTTATGAACTCGAAGAACGGAGCCCTCACCGCACACACAAAGCCCTTTCTTCTGGGAAGGGACGGGGTGGGGGAGGGCCTCGCAGACTGGAACGCTTGCTGTTTTCCTGAAGCGCAGAAGTTTTAGTTTGGAAACGAGGTGAATCATTGGCATGTGTCTCCACACGGTGTGTGTGGTGGTTTCCATTCACATGGGCCCCACATTTTTCTGGGGGAAACCGAGACCCAGGGCCTGAAAGATCCAAGTGTCGACAGTGAAAAAATAAACGCCACGGGCGTGCACGGGTGTCAGGGTAACGGTGGACCAGGCTCTCGCTGGGGAAACTTGCCCGAGACCCCGGCTTCCTTGAAAGTAACGCTGAGCGAAGTACCAGGAAGAAGCTCTTCCTAGTCACTTGGAAAAAAGAACTTTCCGAGTTGAATTAGGATAGCGGTTAGTGCCGGTCCGGTGGAAAGGGCTCCAAGAGGCTTCTGAAACCCCGTGTAGGAATTTGGGAGGGCTTTTTCTTCTCAAAAAAAAGTTTATTAAAGTTTGCACGATTGGCAGCTTTGTTTACACGCGGCTTCTGAGCATTTGGTTCAGAGCCTTTGGAATGAATTTACAGCGAAAGTTCGGTTGACCGTGAATGCCTGTGTTCCCTGTGCTTTCTGAAGAGGATTTCTTCTCATGCACGTAGGATTTTATGGGCAGTTAAGGGAATCTGCCAGTTGACGGTATTCGCTGGGCAGGCTTGATAAGTCAAACTGCAAAATACCTGTGCAGTTCTTAGATTAATAAGCAAAAAATGGCAAGTGAAGAATGATTAAAGAGGACCTTTCTTTTGTTTTATTGTCATGTTGCAAAATTATCCAAATATTTTGTCCACAAAGACACAGCATCTGTTTCACCTGCCAAATTCTAAATAAAATATTTACATTAAAAACAAAGATTTAGCTTCCATATTCTGTGTGGGCACGGAACACAGTGCTGTTTTCCCCTATCAGCTGCTTGGACGACTCCCAGAAGAGCAAATGGCCTCAGGTGGGCTGGCTGGGCTTTGGGGGGGGGCGGGGGGCGTGAGAAGCTGAAGACAGGAATAAAAATAGTACAGTCCTCACTGAAAAGCGGATTGTTTTTCTTCAGGATATGTCTTGAAAAATTCATATGTAGATGAGCTATGCCAAACGAATCATTTTGATATTAGTAGCGGTTTTGGAGAAAAGGAAGGGCATTCTGGTTGGCTCTTGCTTTCTCTTCAGTATTTTGATTTCCCTATGTCTTGGAAGGGTCTCCAGTTTTTCACAATGTACTGTAGGAGTGTTCTGGCTATGCGGATTGTCCATTATATCATTCAGAAGGTCACACTTGGATCATGGAAAAGCCAGGGAGGTGTTGTTATGACCAGTGTTTTGGTGTAATGTTACCAATAATATGCAGTGAACAACACTTTGCTATCAGCAGGTATAGAAAGGCAGTCCTGTTGTGTTTCTTCATTTATGAATAACTGATTAATAGGTTTGCAATTAAGAGATTTTAAAAGTCTGATTTTATTAGATGAGTGACAGCATTTCAAAACCATGTAGATTATAACCAACTTGAAGGAGGCATGGGAAACCATGAAAATGCAATAGGCCCTTCTAAATAAAACATGAAGTTCCGCGCTTAATTTCCAACTTCTGTCTTACATGCATACGAGTACTTTAAACCAACAAGGTTTAAAAGATATTTCTGACTTGACTGTCACTTTTGATATCATACTTTGAACATCTCAGGACAGTCGTTTGCCTAAGGCAGGTAAAACATGAAGACACAATGACAGGTTTGGAGTTTTTATTTTCAACCAAATGCTTAAAAATACAGACTACCAGGACATTCCAATTCACAGTTGAATTTATTGTGTGAATTCTCATAATTTAGTTCTCTGAAGGAATAGTTACGTTTGCTGAAAACAGTATGCTGGGTTTTTTGTTTGTGGGAAACTTTAGTGTAATTGTTCTAAGAACCCATCTCCTGAGAGTTGGTACCATATTTCTGGCTTCAGTGGAGTGGGCCCTGCTTGGTCTACTTACCTGCTCTAAAGTGCGTTAAACCTGTTAAACACCAAAAAGATTCACTTTTCTATTTGCAAAAGCTGGAAACATATTTTGAAACATGGAACTCCTTTACCCCTTCTGCCTCTCAAAGCCCTAGCATCAAAATTTTATCAGCCCACATACAAAGTCGAGAAACTTACTCCATCCTTATGGTACAAATCTTCAGGATAACCCCTTCTACTTAATGAAATGTAGAATTAAAACCAGTATTTAGAGGCATGGATGGCCAGACAATTAAATGAGTCACTCTTTCTGCCCCATTTATATTATTTGGATATTTGTCTCAATTCCTGGGAGTAGCCATGGTACTTGAGTAGATTACCTGACTCAAAATAGTTCTGCTGTCAGCTTATTTTTAGAGGCAGCAAATCAGTTGCATCAAATTGGTCAATAGTGACCTATTTCTATTTTTCTTGCTGGCTATTTATTCTATTTCTTGTGATGCTTCTCTGATGGAACTTTCTTGGCCATTTTACCTAATAACAAGCAATTTAAAAAAAAAAATTTACTCCAAAAAGCACTGTACAAAGGAAAAAGTGGTCCACTATATAAAGGTGCGATATATTCAGTAAGAGCCAAGTTAGAAAGCTGGGAAGGGGAGCGGGGAACACTTAGTCATTTAAATGGCCAAGTTAAACACAAGACACAATTAGGATATCTAAACCCTCAGGTGTTCATAAACCCATACCAGGGACCTCTGGAGAGCAGTGGTGGGAACCAGGGAGAAGGAGAGCCCCAGAAGTGCCTTGTTTAACTTGGCTGTCACAGTAGCTAACCCTTTGTCACTTGGCACATTTTGAAGTTATCACACTTGTGATTGACCTTTCCCCATTTACCTTCTTTTGTACTTATGAAGGTTTATTTTATTTTTTTGAGGAGAGTAATTTATTTAGAAACAGCGGCACAACTCAGCTTGCAATTTAAAGAAGAAATGTAAACTATAGAATTTGAATGTAAAAGCAATGAATTTTAAGCCCCAAACCTTTTGAAAGTAAGAAAACCTGTGTATTAGGCTGCATTCTCTGGTGGAAAAGCTCTAAAAATCGTAGGTGTTAGAAAAGCCACCTCAGGGAGCTTGTACTGGCCCTGAAATTTAATAGAAACATTAAACTCTCCAGTCCTTATTTAAACACATTTTTTCCCCTTATTTTCAAAGTCAAAATATGTGTACTTATGGGTAGACAGGTGAAGTATAACACCAAGAAGGGTGCTTCTCTTGTATTTCCTGTGTTTCATTTCTGAAAAAAAAAAAAAAAAAAAAAAAAAAAAAAAAAAAAAAAAAAAAAAAAAAAAAAAAACTTATCCCTAAAGATTTAGTTTTGATTTTGGTAATGATGCCATAATAAAAAAAAAAAAAAAGCCCCCAATTTTGCGTGTAAAGGTAATTGTTTTAAGACAGTATAGTGCTTTGCTTTTAAGAATTGTAATATGGCTTTTCCCTCAAAATTATTTTTAGATAGATTATGACTTCCTTTTTTCATGACTAGATTTTAACCTAAGGTAAGTTTTTTAAAAAATATGAAAAGATACATATACACATGCAAATTAGAGAGCGATATTTCTTTTTCGTG